GGGGGGAGGGCCATGGAAAAAATTTTACCGGACCATTTTGCACCAGCCCTCCCCCCCCGGTAAATATCGTACAGTCCCTAAATTGACGTCACGTATCCATAAAGTCTCGTGTGAATAATGTCACGTGTTCGTACCCGTAATCTCGCGATAGTACCAGGAAGGATTAAAACTAATACCAAGGACACTAAAACTAATTAACATACAATCTCGCGAGTTTACGTTCGGAAGTGATGAAGGCTGAAAATTTTGGATCTCTGTGTACTTTTGGAATCAAATTTAACATTGCAAGGAATTTTTGATGTACACAGATGACCTTCTATGATGCTAAACTTGTTTGTTTGTTTATTTCCTTGTTCATGGTTCTAGCACGGTGGCCCACAAGCCATCTATCGTTTCTACTGGAACGCGTACGACACGACTCTGATCGCCGAAGCCCTGACAGCGATCGGCGGCGTCCTCGCCATCCTGAGGCTCCTCCCACTCCTGACCTTTGACCGCTTCCTGGGCCCCCTGGCCCTGTCCATGAGCCACATGGTCAAAGACATCGTCAAGTTCCTCATCATCTTCTTCATCGTCTCCATCGCCTTCTCCACGGGGCTGAACGAGATCTACCAGTTCTACGGCTCCGTGGTGGACAACATCTGCCTCACACAGAAGGAAAACGCCACCTCGCCGCTCCAGAAAACTACCTGTGAAACTAAAAACGCGTTTGGCGAGTAAGTGTTTGTTTACAGCACTACTCAATGCATTTTCGTTTGGTCATTACAGTTATTAATATGAAAGCATGTCATTCTTAGTTCTAAGATTAGAATTATAAATGTTGTTGCACTGTATCAGAAAGAGTTCGATATCAGTTAAAGTTAAGACATTCACTGATAATATAGCTAGTGATTATATTTGGTAACGCCACAGGGCAGGGGGTGGTATGCGATATGTATAAAACATTCCCAATATTCACAGCTTCCAGAGCTCGTTTGAGGAGCTGTTTTGGTCGCTATTTGGACTCGGGAGTAAAGACACCCTGAACCTGGATCCCAACCCGCAGGCCATGACGTCTGGAGGCAAGCAGCTACAGGAGCACACCCTGACCATGTACATAGGACAGGCTCTGTACGGGCTCTACCTGGTGGTAGCTGTGGTCGTTCTACTCAACATGCTCATCGCCATGATGAGTAACTCCTACCAACACATCGCGGTAAGGCCTACTTCCACATTGATTTCTTTGGCCAGTTAGGTTACCGACTACACACGCAAACAGACACAACTGTCATTAATTATGCCAGGTTCGCATAGACCACCCCGTTAGTAATAAAAAAAAACTTAAAAATAACTTCCATGTGTCGCGTTGCTTAATAACTGTTAACCTTACCTCTTGACTGTTAAAGCAACTTTAACTTTTCTATGTGAGTATTTTCTTTTTTGGAATTTGAATATCAGAATGTTTTCTTTCCAGGACAACGAGACGACCGAGTGGCGTTTCGAAGTGACGAAGTTGATGCTGCGGTACATCCGTGACGACACGACTCTCCCCGTCCCCTTCAACCTCATTCCGACTCCCAAGTTCATCTACAACGTCATCCAGAAGTGCTGCTTGCGTCAGCGATACAAGCGCGACAAGGTACGGGTACACATACGTATGTATGTTGTCTTTGCTAAGGTCATGTTTTCTGTATCATATTGCAGATTTCCCAAAATGGTTTCGCAGTCTTTGGCCGTGTTTGTACACCCAATTCTGTTAGAGAAGGAGGAGACAAGGTTTCTGTTAATTGATGAATATTGATCTGTTGTTTTTTTATCGTTACAGCTGCAAGCCAAAGCAGAGAACACTCGGCGATACAAGGTCAGTTTATCCTAACACTGTAAAAATTTTAAAATGTTCACGGGTGTAAGGATGCTGTTTTGGGGGTATCTCAACCTAGGCCTTGGGGGCTTCTCTCCAGATGCTTTGCGCAAAGAATGACGTTCTCCTTCCTGTGGTAGAACCTTCTTGGTCTCGAAACCAGGCAACAGTAGCCTAGATCTTGCGGCCTTATGATGTATGATCACATAAGTACTTAGTGGATTTAACAACGGTTTGATGTGTTGTCCGCAGCCTTCTTTCAATACTCATAAATAGTAGTGAGATAAAATGTCCCTGCAATGTGTCAATGGCTCAGCACTTATACCAGGATGTTCCCCTTCCCAGGAGGTCCTGTCCCGCCTGACCACACGTTACCTGCTGGCCCGGGAGCGGGAGAAGGGCGTGGAGCCGATCTTTGCAGACTTCACACCTCACGATCCCGTCGCCATGGCAACCACAACCCGCCTTTAGACAGGATTGGTCGGTGTAGGGTGTTTGTACTCACGTGACTGTGGCGTAAGTATTGTCCGCCATGTTGGATGGTTAAAGCTGGGATTCGAATAATCATCGTTAAAAAGCTTTGTATATGTACATGCAATTACAGTGACGTGCAAGGACATCATATACATGCATATTTTAATATAATATATTGGTATAGCAGCTAATGCTAACAAGCAAATATGACGTCTGTGCTTTTGAAGCTAGGAAACCATCTTTGAACAGGGAAAAAATTTATAGTATGGATGTTTAGACTCTCCATCAAATCATCATTAGGAAAGACAGATAAATAGATAGATAAGATTAAATATAGATAAGATTCACAATACCTCTAGTTATTATAATACCTCATCTATACGTATACTAATGTATTCAAATTACCCTCTATATATTCATAGTATTTATATCAACCCACGTCTAAAATTCTAATTGTGTATTGTGTCACCTTATTCATATTCACTGCATTTATATTACCTCGTATCATACGTCTAATTATCTACCTGTTTGTAGGTGTTATTCTGTTGGTCAAATGAAGAAAATTCCTGAATATATTCTGAATATTATTAATATAAAAAAGCGACGTCTTGTTTTTATACGTTTGTCAAAATACTGGTGTAAGAATGTGTGACTTAACGTTGCAATATAAACCCGGGTGCAAGGGGAGCTGCTTGATGGGCTGAATTCTGAACCTTATATTTATTCTGCACGAGTCTACAGAGCGATGGTAGTTTGTTACACTGTCTTTTGAATCAATGAAAACAATAAAGTATTTGCTTTCTATCATACCATACTATGTGTGTTCGGTTTCTTTTAGAGTTATGTGGTGTGGAGAGGCAGGTAACCTTTGCAAAAAACTCCCGAATTCGAAATTATCGGATACACGTATAATGCGAGAGCATAAAGGATAACGTGTTTGATTTGATTTGATTTATAAAGGGCTAGCCCTCAGAACAAGAACATAAACAATTCGGAACAGTTAACAGTGTCAGTTACAATTCAGATAAACAAACTACTACATTAACAGATGTTGCGGCCTTTGCATACTGCGCTTTTATTACATTAATATTGTATGCGGCGCACACGCTTTAAAGAGTTAGTCATATGCTAGTATAATAATACATGGCTGTTTGGACAATACCATTACTACATGTTAGTCACACGCGTATCGAACAAAACAAAATTTCTGTCTGAATGACCTGAAGTTCAGCCCTCCCCGGAACTTCGATGTGTGCTTTTGTGTGAAATACATTACTTAGCAAACAGTTCAAATTTCAAGGCATTTGCTAATGTACATGTCTAATGAAAAGCCGGTCGGTCCCGTGAGCATGACTCATTAACATAAACTTGTCTTAACTTTTATTTTCCACGGATCGTCTAAAATTGTCTTCACATCGTTTACATATCAATTCACAGAAATACCTGTTCAACTACAGCTGTCGTCAGTCACGAAAGAAGTGTATGATACATGTACATTGTACTTT